GATTCTAAAAAAATTCTTATAGATCCTAAAAGATTCCAAAAGGTTCTAGTAGGTTCTAAAAATGTTTCGAAAGATTCTAGTAGATTCTTAAAAAATTCTAGAAGATCATAGAAGATCCTAAAAGGTTCTATTAAGCTTTAGATGATTTAGGAAGTTGCCGAAGAAGGATCTTAGGCTTATTTTATTCCCAAGCCTTGTAAAAACTTCTCAAGAAGTTTTTTAGGACCTAGTATACATAGGAGGTGAGGCTAAGGGGATCCTCAATCTCGGCAACTCATTTCCTATGGTCTAACAAAATCCTTCTTATCTTATATTTAGTTATTATTTTAATATCAAGTTAATTCTATTTTTTGGACTTGAATCCTTGTCTTGTATATAGTCCCTAACAGATGATGTGACTTTTGATTAATAAAGAATAATTCTCTTGAAGTTGGAGGATTTTCATCTTTGAGCAATAAAATCAACATTGAATGTTGATTCAATCTTTGTCAAGAAAATTCAATTAAGTATGTCTTTTGATCTTTTTATTCATAATATCAAGAATAATACTTTTAAGTCTCATAATAATTCCAAATTTGAGTTTAAAAATAATCTATTCTACTTCAAAAAATAATTATACATTCTAAAAAGTGAAGCATGATTATATGTTTTTTAAGCTCGTCATGACTTTCTAATAGTTAGATATTTTGGATACAACAAAACTTTAGTACTAATATCTAGAAATTTTTGGTGGCCTCAAATATAAAAGGTAGTCAAAGACTTTATACAATCATGTGATATTTGTTTAAGATCTAAAACTCCTTGTTATTGATCTTATAGATTTCTTCAACCATTATCTATTTGAAACAATTATGGTCTTCTGTTTCTATGTATTTTATCATGAATCTTCTTATCTCAAGTTTGTATGATTCTACATTCATGATAGTAGATTATTTTACCAAGATGGCATATTTTGTATTATATAAAAAATCTATCACATGTAAAGAAATGGCTAAGTTTCTTATTAATAACATCTATTGCTATTAAGGATTTTTGAATGATATTATATTGGATAGGAGGACTTAATTTATATGAATATTTTAAAGAATCTTTTTCAAGATATTAAAAGTAGATATAAAGCTCTCTTTAGATTTTCATCCTGAAATTAATGGGTAAATAGAATAAGTGAATGAAGTTTTGAAATAATATTTGAGGTGTATCATCAATTATAATTAAGATGATTGAACAATTCTTTTGCCATTGGCAGAGTTTGCATATAATAATTTGGTACATTCTTCTATTCAAAAAATACCTTTCTTTGTCAATTACAGTTATCATATACAACTTGATGCCTTTATTTTTCAAAAGTTGATAATACTGTGGTAAAAGATTTGGTGAATTTTTTGTCAGAACTATATGAAATAATAAAAGCACAATTAAAGAAGCTTAAGAACAATAAAAGATCAATGCAGATGCCTATTATAAGAAATAACCACAATTCAATTTGGAGGAGAAGGTATGGCTAATTCATTGCAATATCAAGACTACTTGTCTTTGTGACAAGTTGGACTATTGTAAGCTTGGATCTTTTCCTATTAGCAAATAACTTAATCCACTTGCTTATCAATTATATCTATGAAAGTCTATGAAGATCCATCTCATATTCTATATATCTCTTGTTGAACCATATAATGAATATCTGAGGAAGAAAACAAATGCCACCTCCTCCTATAAAAATGGATAATAATCAAGAATTTGAAATGAAAAAAATCTTAGATTCAAGGCAGTATTGAAATAAGTTAAAATATCTTGTTTATTGGTGAGGATATAATATTAATGAATGTACACAAGAGCTAGCAAAGAATCTTATAAATACAATAAAAAAGATTGAGGTTTTTTATCAACAACATCTATCAAAATCAAGATGAAGAATATCAAATCTTTGCTATAAAAGAAAGAAGATACAAAGAAGATAGCATTCTACCTTCTATTATTGTTTGGTACTTTTGAGCATTTGTAATGCTAAGAAGTTGAAAATTTAACAATGAGTAGATTCAACTTAAGAGCTATCACTTGCTGACTTATTGAACAAAATATTACAATTATTATAACATTCAAGACAACATAATTAAGATGAAGATCTTCAAGAACAATACATCTTTCCTTGAATAGATGGCAAGATACAACATGTTTTATATCACAAACTTGGAAGAAATTCTTAATATTTAGTGATTTTATTAGAAGTAGGAACAACTCTTGATGGTGTTCGAAATGTTTTATTTGAAAGAAGTTACGAAGTCCTCAAAAATGATCAAATAAGACGGTAGTCTTCCATTCTTAGTATAGGGTACTATTAATAGTTGAGAGGACCTATCAACTATCTTTGAAGAGAACAAAGTTCAGAGTATGTAACAAACATAATTTGTCATATCTTGGATTTTCTCAACATATAATGACCACTCTTCATAGAACTCATTCTTAGAAGAGAGAATAATATCATGGACATACATATTTATTCTAATATTTACTTATATGATTAAATAGAAGTAATTAAAAGCAGATTTATTTTATAATATTTTCTAGAAAAGCATCTTAGAAGCTTTATAGATGTTATTTTGACTTTACATGTGTTTGTAGTTGATTGGTAGGATAGAAACTTGATCAACAAGTTAACCACATGTTGATAGATTGCAAAACAAGCTAACTATGTAGTGTACATATAGAAAACTTGTCTTGTAAGTTAAGTTCTGTGTCTTGTAAAGTCAACATGTTTTAGAGGTCCTATAGGATATTGCCACATACATCCTAGTTAAGAATATATGTAGAGACAAGAGTGAAGCCTTCTTCACTCTTATGAATGCCTTTCTAGTCCTTAATCTTATTTCAAGACTTTCTAATCTTCTTATCTTTGGCAATAGCCATTCTTCTTTAATACTATATCACCTTGAAGTAACTTTTTAGTTCTTTTGAATGACACAATAGTGTATTGAGGATTTTTTTCTTCAAGCTTCATATCCTTAATAGAAAATTGCTATGAGTTGTTATCATGTAGTAAATAATCCCTCTTTATTTATACTATACATATGTTGAATTTGTTAAAGTTGTTAGAAACCATGTTTATTAGAAAAAAAACAACCTAGTTCTCTTAATAAAAGAGGCGGAGTAGAGAGTTTCTTGATATAAATTATTGAATTTTTTTAATATTCAATTATTCTACAATGAAATAGAATAGCTAAGCAATTACTTTTAGCATAGCAAGTCTTATTGTATTCTTTTTAAAGTGTATCTATAATTTAAAATTAAATAAATAAATAAATTAACTAACCAAGCTTTGGAATCTACCTAACTCTGCCAAATCATGCTTCTTCTTTGTTTAAGTCTAAAATATCAACTTTTAAATTCACAAGTTAAGGTTTGATACTAACTAAGATTATTCTTTTGTATTTTAATGTTGTATTATAATTCCATTTCTTATTGCTCTTGAAAAGGCAAGCAATTCTATAATACAACCAAATAACAACAACATTAACAATAGACTAAACATACATCATCTAAAATCAATAACATTAATGTTAATATATGCAAAAAGTAATTACTTGACTTACATTAATATGTAAAAGTTATCATACATGTAAAAAAAATACTAAATAAAAATCAATAGAAGTAAATATAAATAAAATAAATATACATATAATTATAATATTAATATAATTAAAGTTAAATAAAATTATAAGTTAAATTTTAATTTCTAATTGACTTAAAATAAAAATATAAGAATAAAAATAACAAGATAAATAATGAATGAGATGGAATTTATTAACCATTGTTGTGTTCTACTTGAAGACATCAATATGTTTTTATTTTGAAAATTGCCAAAGAATCAAAGTTTTTTTTTTAATTTAAATCATGTATTATATTTCATGTTTTGTATTGGTTGTAAGATTAAATCAAAGTTTTTAAAATGCAATTGATACATGTGATATAATAAAGTTATCTTTTTAAAAAATCAATTCAATATATAGATAGATAGATAGATATAATTCTATCAAGTTTTCTCTAAAAAAAAATATCTGATTTTTCTAATATCAAAGATTTATTTGTTTTATCAACAATATTTAAGAACTTGATTTTTTGAATTTTAAATAAATTGAGAATGTATATCTAATGGTGCAATGTTTACTATGGACTACTATGCTTTGCTAAATAATTAGTAAAATGTAAGTAATTATGTGTAATTTTTATATTAATTACATTTATATACATTTTTTTAGCTTATATTCTCTTTATTTGTCTTTTTATAATTAATGGAAGTTAAAGATTTTTCAAAATTAGTTTGGTCTTATTAATAGCTTTAGAGTTAAAAAAAATCAATTCTACTTTATCCAATTGATTTTGTCATTTTAGCTCATTCTTATTTTAAATAGTTGAAATACATATATAATATATTAGAAACTACATCCTTTAAAAGAGTTAGATTACCAGATGTACTTATTTTTTTTTGACTTTAACTATGTTTGACTAATCCAAACAATAATTTAGGTTACATCTACATCGTGACTTTGCAACAAAAATGATGACTTTTGGTTTATTTAGAACAAAAATTACTCGTGATTTGAAACCAGCAAAGTTAGTTAACACACGTGCCACTCAAAACTCCGATAATAAAAACAATAACAAATTAAGGTTGTGCTTTCGAATCACGCATCACGCCTTTGACGCAGTCTGAAGCATTTCCCCCTCTTCCAAGCACGGCCAGGTCCACGTCATCCCTCTCCCGTTTGAAAATGAATCTTAAAGGATTGGGCACCAAAGGGGAACTGGGCGGGAACGCAGACCAAAGCCGCGAGAAGTTGCTCGGAAGCTCGTGCTCTCCCGCGAGACCCATCGCTGCAAGCGCAACGATGCTCGATGAGCCTACAATAGCAAACCAGCATCGCCTAAGATTGGCTCCGAAGACCACAGGTGCTCCCCAACGATCCTCATTGGTTACATGAGCGATTCACCACTTGCACCCAACTCGAAAAATCGAGATTTTGTTATCCACTGGGAGCTGTTGGCGCTACGGAGGTGCAACAAGCGGACTCGACAGAGAAGCTCAATCACAATCTGCGGTTTCATTCGTAGCCAGCACACTCGTGTTGTGTTCCGTTAAAGTCGATGAGGAGTTTTGCGATCTTGAACCACCAGGCCTGACACACGACCTGGAATCTGACGAAGCCGAGCACCACGCTAGCAGAGATTAGGCGGGAGGAGAAGCCCAAAGAGCGCTGCGACTCGTGTGTCGTGCTCGATAGCTAGCGTTGACGTCGTCGGGGTTAAAGCATTGCGCGTTGTGCATCAAAGCTGGCGAAATCTTCGTCAACTTTTGTGGAGGGTTATAATTGTTGGGCCTGCAATTGTGGATCTGCCGACACTCACATTCGATTCTGGGTGTCCTTGGATGTTGTGCAGGTTCTGGGTGCGAAGCCCGTGACTGGAATCTACTGCTGTCGTCTGGTCGATGTCAATGCGTAACTACCGCCAGCAACATGAAGAAAGGTAACGAATTTTCTACACAAGGGGGTAAATCAGATCGTGTGAAACAATGTGAGCTAGAGAGGCGAGCTAAGGCTGGATCTGTTGATCATTTGCAGTCCTTGGTTCAGGTGAAGGGAGGAACAACAGGTTGAAAGGATGATGCTATGGACAATATTAGTTTGTTAAATCAGGAGCTGGCGCCGGGAGCCACGGTGCAGAGGCGATGGCGTACTAGGAGCCTTGACATGGGTCACGGTAGTAGCTGTAAACAGGGACTGGAATCCTCAGATGGGAGTTTGTGGCAGAATCCGGTGAAGGAAACTGCGATTGATGTGGACCCTTGCAATGTAGCTTCCCGATACAAGTCGTCGACGCTGCCAAATCTCTCCGAGACGCAGATGTACTCGCAGTCGGAATCGGATTTGAGCAAGGACAACTCGGCTATGAGCTCCATGCGGCGATTCTCAGCGGTTGATTCAGACTCATCGAACTCCTCACATCGGGACTTACCCCCATTCTTGACACGACTTCCTTCAAATGGAGATCACCATTACATTGCCCATGCTGCGTCGGAGAATCCTGCATTGTCGTCTGTATCTGGCGGAGGGCTCAGTGCAGCAGTTGGTGGTAGATGCGCTTCGAGGGGCCGTGGCGAAGATACGGGCAGTCTTCGTCATCGCAGAATTACAAGCTCCCATTCTAGCCAGCTGCATTCATTTCGAGATGAGGAACTTGTCACAAAAAGCTCGGCAGTTCCCTGCAGTCATTACAACAGGGCAAAGTCGAGATTCTCCGAGCCGAGGAAGTCAGTAGCTGAGAAGGGGGCTGGGGATGGAAGCATTCGGAAGTCAGGGGTTTTGAGGTCTGGCCAGCTCGGGTCCCAACAGTTGAATTCGGGGAACTTGTGGTCCGGACAATTGCGGTCGCAGAAGCTGAAGTCGGGAATGCTGCCCGGTCTCGGCCGGGTGAGGGAAGAAGAAGACGACCCTTTCAAGGATGTAGACTTGCCTGATCGCCCTAAGTTTCAAAAAAAGAGGTCATGGGTGTGGTTTCTCGAAGTGATTGCATTCTTCATTCTGCTTGCCGGCGTGATATGTAGCAGAGTGCTTTCGCAAGCAAGAAACCTGACCCTGTGGGGGCTTCTCCTCTGGAAATGGATTCTCTTGGCACTCGTGGTTGTTTGCGGTCGCTTGGTTTCGGGATGGGTGACGCGCGCTTTGGTCTGCCTCCTCGAGATTAACTTCTTAGCGCGAAGGCGAGTGCTCTACTTCGTCTATGCATTGCGGCATGGCGTAAGGAATTGCATTTGGTTAGCGTCAGTGCTAATGGCATGGAATTTCATGTTTGACTCAAAAGCGCAGGCATCCAGCAAGAAGCTCGTCTATGTAACCAAGGTATTGCAATGTTTCTTGCTTGCTGCTGTCCTCTTCATCATCAAAGTATTCCTTGTCAAGGTGCTTGCCTCCTCCTTCCACGTCGGAATATACTTCGAGCGCATACGCGACTCGTTGTTCAACCAGCACATCTTGGAAGTTCTCTCCGGCCCCCCTGTGGTCGAACTTGAGAGAATGCGAGACGACGACGAGAAGCTGATGGAGGAAGTGGCAATGCTGAAAGAGGCGGGCGCAATGGCCCCAGGTTTAACAGGGTTGCCTGGTATAAGCGAGGGCAGCGAGACGTCCAGAGGGGAAATAACCTTCAGGCAATCCAGAACTGGCGTTCGTGTAGAGGTTGAACCCGGCTCCGGTATCACCGTCCAACATCTGCACAAGCTGAACCGACAGAATGTGTCAGCTTTTAATATGAAGCGCCTTATCAATATGGTGCGGAGTAAAGGAGTGTCCACCTTTGGCCAGGGGCTTGATGAGAATGCGCAGGAGGATGGCGAAATGGACACAGAGATCAGGAGCGAGTGGCAGGCAATAGCTGTTGCCAAGGAGATTTTTGCCAACGTTGCGAGACCTGACACTTCGTAAGAGCCTCTTTCAATCCTCCTCTTAGTTTACTTTCTGATTGCTACATCCAAACCTCTTCTAACATGTCAGCTTTACGAAATGCGATTGTGAGACGCAGATATATCACCGAAGATGATCTAATGCGGTTCATGCAAGAAGAAGACGCTATACGTGCACTTGCGGTGTTTGAAGGCGCAATGGAGACGGGTATGATCACAAAAATTGCTCTCAAGGCCTGGGTGGTATGTCCTTAACATTCCAAAATTCAAGCTCTGTTGCGTTTTCTTCTACAGGTTGGAGGGTCACTCTCACTGGGATCATGAATTCAGTGCTAACCATTTCCGATTGATTCGTGAATGTCCGTAGGTGAACGTCTACCAAGAGAGGCGCGCTCTTGCATTGTCGCTGAGTGACACCAAGACAGCTGTGAACAAGCTTCACCGCATGATTGACTGTCTTCTATTTGTGATTGTGGTAGTTATCTGGCTTATTATCCTGGACGTTGCTACTAGACAGCTTTTGATATTCGTTTCGTCTCAGTTGCTCTTGGTGGTCTTCATATTCGGCAACACGCTGAAAACTGTCTTCGAGGCCATCGTCTTCGTCTTCGTCTACCACCCATTCGATGTCGGCGACCGCTGCGTCATTGACGGAACCATGGTACAGCTTGAAAGTTTGCTTAGCTATGAAATAGTGATTGTTAGTTTTATCAGCTCGGCTCACAATTTTTGGTTATGCTTTTTTAGTATTTAGTTTATATCTTTTATCTAAGTGGGAAAGTGATTATTCTTGTGGCAGTATGTGGTAGAGGAGATGAACATCTTGACGACTGTATTTCTGGGAGATTTCGGTGCCAAGGTCTGGTACCCCAACTCCGTCCTTGCCATCAAACCCATAACAAATTACTACCGAAGTCCAGATATGACTGATATGTTTGAATTCTACATTGCGGCAACTACCCCGGCCGAAAGAATTGGGCGTCTGAAGGAGGCCATTGGCAGGTACGAACTTAATCTCTGCTGGGTTATTTTCCACACGCTCAAGTTCAAATTGTTTAATGAAGTTTGCTACTACTCACATCCAGCTTATCATGTTATTGTTTACTATATCAACATCTTGATTCAGTAGCATTCAATTTGATAAGCTGGTGTGCTTCGACAGGTATATCTCAAGCCAGTCTCTACACTGGAAAGAGACTTTCACGCTCAATTGTATGGATTGCTCACCTGAGACTAGAAGGTTGAAGCTAGTTCTGGGGTTGACGCACACAATGAACTATCAGAACTTTGGAGAGAAGACGTCTCGACGCTCTGAGCTAATGCTTGAAATGAAGAGGCTATTCGAGGATCTTCAAGTTGATTATCATCTTCCTCCTCAGGAAGTGCAACTTAAGTCTGTTGATGGTTCTTCGATCAACCTCAGCAGGCAACTCTAAACAGTTCAAGAAGGCACGAGGGTGATGCGTCGATGATGCATTAAATTTGGGTCCCTGTGAGTGCTTTCTTTAGGTGAATGTTAGGCGCATTCTTTGGATAAGGAAAGGTCAACTTATTGGCTAACAAATGGATATTTACACGGAGGTCCTCAGGAGGGGTCCACATTGTAGACCCAGAGCTTCTGATGCGTACTACAGATTGTTAGGCGCGTATTCTAGTTTTAGGACTTCCTTCTGTTAAAGCTGCAAAATCCTCAAACAACAGGGGATATTTATACAGATCAGTGTATGCAGGCTGATAGGTGACATGTGCAGGTTGGTAAATTGCCACCCAGTGTCATCAGTTTCTACCTGTTCCACTGCGGCATGGCTGATTGTAGCCAGATTTTTCGGAAAGAAGAGAAATAAGACATACCGATATGGACTTCAAGCTTCAAGTGGGTCCTACGAACAATGGATGTCAGGGACTCGAAATCTCTTCCTAAAGAGCACTGCCAAACCTTCTCTAGCAGTTATGGTTTATGTGCAGATTGGATGCTTACACTAATAAAAATTATCTCTTAAATGACATCCCCCACTAAAGTAAGAAAACAGCCTTTGATGCTTTCAAGAATCCCATCTACTTCGAACTTCATGGATATGATTTCAACAAAAAATGAAAAAAAAAAAGTATGGATGTGGTTTCTGTCTTTGCTGGTACGGTTTAATTTTTGAAGGATTCGTAGTTTTTTTTTTTTTTTTTTTTTTTTTTTTGCGTAAGTATAAAAATATTGAAATTAATTCATTTTTCTTGAAATGAACGATAAGTCAACGACTGTGAATTTATTTGCTGTGCAAGGTGAAACTATTCTTGTAATTCGTGTAGAAATTCACACTTTATCTCCATATTACATTGACATTTGTTCTCTTATGCATTTATTCTTTAGCATTGTGTACCATTTTTTAACACTTTGTAACTAAAGTTTTGTGGTTCGTTAAAGATGAAACAAATATCTTGTAAAGTCTTGAATGTTAGGTTTCTAATATCATGTATTTGAAGGATATCCAACCTGGAATGATTGCTATGGTTTGAATATGAAAATATTTGTTGCTATTAGAGCAGGAATGAATTTATTGTGAGTTCAAGCAAAGTTTTTGTGAGAAGAAGAATTTGCATCAAGAACCTCATATCAGCTTGTTCAACAAATCTCCATTAAAGGTGTCTTCACAAAGTCAGATAATAAATCTGAAGAGTCTGTTCACATGAGTCTTCAAACCATAGATGATCAGTCTCTACCTTTGCAAATGAAAGTATCAAAAAATTGTGGATGCACGTTTCTTCTCACAAAAATTATGTCATAATAACTTTTATTATTAACATTAAATTTAGAATTCTAGTAATCAATTTTGAAAGCTTATTAATGTTTTGTACATGATTTAGGTGTAAAGAAATTAAGAACTTGAATTACGAAATTTTCATACTTTAAGAAAAAGATATTATTCTAGTTATCATCAGGTTTAAATCATTTGGATCCCCCAAAAATTCTTGAACCAGCTCTAGTGCCACTTTCAGTATTTCAATGTGTCCAAGTATGTGTCAACAACTTAAAAACCATAGCCGAATAATTTTATGAAAACCTTGGTTGATTGTACCCCATTTTAAACCTTCATTATATGTGTCTACTTTATATTCTCACATCCTTTGTAATTTCAATTGATATTTATTCTTAACCTCTTCAAGTATTTCCCCAGCTAATTATTCACTGGGAGCAAATCACAAACGCGATTCACATGAAACTATGAAATGTACTTGTTAAGTGATTTATTAAGGTGCAGTGACTTAACTACACATATTTTACATCTCGATTGAACGTTAATGGATTAAAAAAATGTCATGACCAATTTCAGTCCATTTCTAGTCGCTGGATGCAGAAGTGGTGGTGACCTGGTGGGTTGGCACTGCTGTTGCTCTTTCACCCTCTTCGGCAACAGCAATAGGCTTCACTGCTAGCTCACCCACAAGCATTTCCTGTGAACTGGTGGGTCATTGTGATTTAGCATGGTGTCTGCTTACTGAAAGGGACAAATATAGTTGTGCACGAATCCAGGAACGTGGAGGGACGTTTTTTCCTCTTCCACAATGCAAGTTGGTAACTAGAACCACTTGCAACAGATGTCCAGACAACAATTTGAAAGAGCAAATAGAACAATTTCATAGGTCGGCTACATTGAAGATGGACATGTGTTTATAGCTGAAAAAATTTCAGCATGTTGGTAAGGTCAAAACTGTCTTTTCATTTCAGATTCAGTGGTGGTGGTAGTCCCCACTCCGACAGGTTTCGACTCATAGCTGAATATCCCTCCAGTATAGGGACATATTGTTGTCAACCTCTAAGCCGTTCGCTTGTTGACGAAATCAGATGCACGTGGTAAAAATTCCGTTTCGATGGGGTTTCATGAACTACACACCTCACTAAATACAACACAAAACAGGATCTGATCGTCTGGTCACAAACTTGTTCTGCCGCCTTTGGTGGAAACCTATACTGGAAATAAATCACATCTCGAACTTTGTTCTATTCCATGTGAACCCCAACTGTAATGGGGCTGGCCATCTCATAAAATGATAGCGTTTCATTCTAAATCAGACCCTAAAAATCTCGCACAAACTACTATCTCAACGGTGTTGCGTTCTATAAGGTATGAGCACCTCCGTTGAGGTGGTATATGACCTCGCACACCCACTGCATAAATTATCCAAAGAAGATGGTACAATACGAAAATTTGGAGTATAAATCAATTCCAACGGTGAGTACACTTCCTGAGAAATTGAAGTTGCATATTATGAGGAAACCACCACGACAGGACACTTCGAACGTAGAACTTGGTCTCTATTCACGTTGTCCATAGGAGCCGGGAGGTTGGCTGCTTTGAACAATGATGCGAGCCCAGCGTGTCCAGGCCCTTGGGATCGTCTAGCTTTCAGCACTGGAGGCTGCCAATCGCCATTAACAACAATTCCCGTTACATTACCTGGCATTAGCTGTTTCAGGTTCCCTCTTTGTGAAAACTCCGCTGATTTCTGTAGATTCGCAGTCCTGTTGGTGCCCTTGCGTGGCGGAGAATTAACATTTGAAACCCTTGTACCTCTGACAAAATTAGGCAAAGTATCACCGATCGTCCGCTCGTAGGTAGAAAACCACTTAGATATCATGTATTCAGGTTTCCGCCATGGTGGCAAGTGCATCCCTCGCTCCTTCAACGACGACTTAACCGCACCAGTCATGAAGTTGACAATCCAGAGAAGCCGGTTCACCCTGCCAACGAAAATAGTCGGTAAAATTCGCACAAGGGTGTCATATTCAGCAGTTGGACGAGCTATCTCGAATTGGGCTTTGAAATCAATATCTACTATAATCCTCTCGCTGTTTTTCACGGCTGTAGAGCCTTCAAAATCGACGTCAACGTATTCGTATTCACCACCCGGATGTTCTCCCGAGTGATCCCACCTGCACTTGCAAATTCCGGCCTTATAACCAGCCTGGCGCAGGTGTCTCATGACCTGGTCGGTAGAAAGAGACGATGCTCCCTCGCCGTCTTTGGCAGCGACAACCGCCTTGGTTACCTCTTCATGCAAAATTCGCTCCCTAATGTTGTCACGGTGCAGAGTTTCAGAAAGCTCTCTAACAAGAGTAGACTCGATACCTTCGTCACCGCTGCTGGACCATGATGACCCATGGTATCGCGACCGGCCATACACAGATTTCTGATCAACTCCCTCTTCCAAAAATTCGTCAACCATGGCGGCCAAACACACAGAGCTGGGCTCAAATTGCTTCTCATTTCTAGCACGCTTATCATCGAACATGTCAAACGTGGACTCCAGATCACCCACATCACCCAGAAGCAACATTCTGTTCTTCGTAAGATTAGCCCTAGTCACACATCCGACAGCCTGCAAATCCGTCTGGCGACGACCCTTCTTAGACGGTGACATCCGGACCTGCGTGAGAAGCGAACCTAAGCCTCGCTCCTCTTTCCCTCGCGTCAAGACCTGGAGGCTCGAGCTCCCAATCTTTGACGATACCCCGAAGGACTTCATCGTCAGTAGTCTCGGCATCTTTGCTGCCTCGAGAACGGCCTCTCAAAAGTCTAAAACCCTGCTAATCTCTTAGAACACTTACCTTTCTGCTTGTGGAGACTTCCACCAACGTTATCGACCATAGTCACCGCCCACTGCACCCACCATGGTTCCCCTCAGCACAGCTTGCTGAGCTCAATCAAACCACTGTACACGAGCCGTCAGGAGCCCGAAACTAAATGCCCAGACACAGAGCTCTAGACAAGAGCATCAAACTAGCCGTTCCTGAATGCAACAGCTCTATGCTAAACTCCGGCAGCAGGCGGAAGAAACCGTTGGAGCTCGCGAGGATCTTGCAACGAAAGCATACTCACTCACTATCAGCAATAATATTGCTGTTGTCATCGAAGAGCGTAACACAGCTCCCTCCCCGCAGGCCGCGTCTAAAAGTGCAGCGGACACAGGAGCGGAAGCCTACCAAACGAGACTCCTTGCTGGCCTAAAGCGCAAGCTGCGGACGGGTGCATCGCACTTCCACGAAGCCGCACTATCCACATGGCAACCACGGCGCGTCCTTCGCAACGATCGGCTCCGGCGTGAATGACATTTACTTGTGAGACGCGATCGCGGTGTTGGCAGGGGGTAATTGCCGCTCCGGGTTATGGCGTCATCGACTTGGACTTGTGTGTCACACGTTGTGGATGAAAACTCACTTCATCCATGAGGTATATATACACATATAGATATATATATATATATATATATTTGTGGCACAAACACGAACATGTGTTGGATTAACCTGAGAAGAACAACATTTCATGTATTGAAATATGTTGTGGAATCCATTAGTTTTGCAAAGCTTAGAGCATTGAGATATGAAGTACATGCTCACTATGAAGGTTTTCGTTGTTTAATAACTCAAGTGGTATATGCATAACTATGACATTGTGAGTAAAACTTGGGCTCCATTTAACTGATATACCTTTTTCTAAATTCCATAATGCTATTGGTCATTAAAAATACATTATATTATTTATAGATACTATATCAAGGTTTCAAAATTTTATGTTCTTTTTTATTTTTTATTTTTTATTTTTGTTTTTTTATTAATTTAATTTTTTATTTGATTTCCTCAACATATTTCTATAGTTTTATATAATGGTTAATAATTTCTAATCATAAGAGTATTTGTATCTTTTTATCACCTCAAATTTCTATTTTAAAAGATTTTGAGTTATATTATTAAAAGTTATTTTGATTATTTTAAAATTAAATTTTATTTGATTGATTTTTTAATATTTTTTAAATAATTTATTTATAACTTCATAATAAAAATAGAAAGTTGCTAAAGCAATATCTATCATGGATATAAATATTTACTTAGATAAAAAATATTACATAGACAATTAATATATATATACATATATAGATTTGATATTATCTTATGGCAAAGCTTCTTGGAAGCTTCATAGACACATATTTGATTTTAGAAGTGTTTGTAGTTGATT